CTAGGCTCAGCTATATTTATTCTCGAGGGTCCACGAAGGCTACTCGGTCACCCGAATGTATAGAACCCGCCACTCGTCTAGAATGGTGTCTTGAACCTCACTTAGGGGGCTATTTCCCAGCCTAAACAGACATTCGTCAGGTGGACAACGTATTTTAAAAACATATTTTAAAATTTATGTTTTTTGACATACACATAAATCTCAAAAAAAAGATTATCAAATTTTGTTTTATAAAGAAGAATGTATTTTATATTTTGAAATAGATGTTAGCAATTTTTATTGTCCACAAGACGATTACACTGTCGGGCATAGGATCGCCGACAACCTGAGGAGGTTCAAGCCAACTCCCGCTAGACTTATGTCGGTGAAGGATACCATATCCTATTGTTCATCAAATTCCTGAATCTTGATGTTATAGGATAGGGCATCTTTCTGCTTTATCTTCGGTGTGCCTTTATCATCAACACCGTACGCCCCAAAACAACTACTTGCGACCTTCCTTGATGGTTTCACGTATAGCAAAAGGCTATACGTGGACACTTATGCATCGGGCATAAGCATCGAAAAACCCAAACCAAGAAGCAAGGAAAAAAAAGAACAAAAATGGGGTGAGAGAGAGGAGACATTGATCCATCTAAAACACCGAAAAGGAGATTGGATCGGTTCTCAAAACTCGTATCGAAAAGACCTGGAAAAGTAGGGCCCGAGGTCTTTCCTAACAAACATAAAATATCCCTTTGCGTTGATTCTCCAAACCCCAAGAACGCAGGATTAATCAAATCGGCCAAATACTCTCCCAAATAAAGCTTGCAAATCCTCCCCAGATCCCCAAGTTAATCTCAAAATCTTCTGACTTCCAACTTAATCCATAACTTTACATATCGAACAGTTATAGAAATCTTCCCGTAAAATCATATAAATGCTCACAATCGGGATCACCACAAAGAGCTGAACAGCAGGTAGGACTTACGGCCAGGGTTGACAGAGAAGAGGAAACAGCCAACAAGGCTCTCGGCCCAAAGCTAGGAACGGGGACAAAAGGGCTTACGGCCAGGGGCAGCAAAGAAGAGGAAACATCCAACAAGGTCCATAACCAAAGGCAGCCTAAAAGACAACATGTAAGGCTTACAGTTAAGGCAACAAAGGGGCCCAAAAAGAATTAATAAAGCTCACGGTTTAAGGCAGCAAAGAGCAGCTACAAAAGCCCACGATTAGAGGCCATCCAAAGCACAAGCAAGGCCCACAACTACAACCACCCAGAGCACAAAGGGGCTCACGGCTAAAGCAAACAAAAAGACCACCAAAGGCAACTATGCTTCCCTGACAAACATGAAAGGATAACTGAAATAATTGTAATTTTTGGGATGGCAAACTTAATTTATCCACGACATCCAAGCCAATCAAGCCTAGCAAGAAGGACCAAATCACACCCAATGACCTACGATAGGCCTCACGGGTAGGGGTTGAGATCAACAGGAATCAAAAAGGACCAAGCCATCTCTCGAGTAGGGATTAAAATCAGCAAAACCATCTCTCGGGTAGGGACCAAACCGAGCCCAGCAAGGCTAAAACACAACCCCCACTTTAGAGCCAAACCGAGCCCAGCAGGGGCCAAACAAAACAAACCAAGCCCCTCAACTAGAGCCAAACCGAGCCCAGCAGAGGCAAAAAAAAAAACAAACACAGCCTTCAACCAAAGCCAAATCGAGCCCAGCAGAGGCCAAACAACGCCAACACAGCCCCCACTTTGGAGCCAAACCGAGTCCAATAGAGGCCAAACACGAGAGCTCTCAAAGCTAGGTAAAGAGCTTTAACATCTCAATAAAAGTCAAGGCTCAAGTCTCCACAAAAGTCGACATCCCATACTTCTGAAATGAAAAATCGAGCACCACCAAAAGCCCAAAATCGAGCCATTCAAAGCCCAAAACTGAGTCCAACAAAATTAAAATCTAGACTCCCATAAAGCATTAAAGATTCAACCATTTCAAACCCAAAGCCGTGACTCCAATCAAGCCAAAAGATAAAACCGAGCCCAGCATGGGCTAAAATCGAGCCATACAACATTAAAGATCTAGCCATTTTTAAGCCCAAGGAACAACCTGCATGTCTAAACATTCTAAGCATGAAATTATTCCAACAAATATATGAACATGGGAGATGCCTCATGAAGAGTTAAGCCAAACTCTCAAAACAAGATGCAAGGCTTTTCAAATTAAATAAGTTTTCTTATAACATATATTTCAAGCCAGGGAACGCCACAGGAAGCCAAAACCGAGCCCCCAAACATGCATAAAATAGTAAAATGCACTCCCTAACATGCATGAAAGACCAAATAACCTCTTCAATATTTCATACCAAACGAAAATAAGTGGAAAGCTTCATAATACTCATCCCAACTTGCTTGCAAGAGGAGCAAAAATCATTTCAAAGGCATGTCTTAACTCCCTAAGTGTTTCCAACATAAACATGCCACAGTAATGATAAAGAGGCCATAGCCCCCCCTAGTTTAAGCAAGTAACCAAGTTTAGCTCTTAGGACATGCCCACATTTTCATTTTTAAATGCATCTGAAGTGAATATCTCAACAATATGTTAAAGTAAAATGAACTAGCATGCTGAATTATCCAACAGAACTATACTCAAGGCTCAGCAGGGGGAAAACCGAAGAGCAACGAAGCACTGAGGAAAAGGGGGGGAGAAGAGTACCTCTATAATGCCAAAGTAAAGCACTGCAACACAAGAAGCTACCTCAAAGATGTGCTCTCA